GGAAACCCTTGAGAAAGAGGAGAGGGATGGAACCAGGAATCCTGAGGAGGGTTGGGGAGTGTTTGGGGGGGTCCTTCCCTGGGGAAGGCGAGGGGGTTAAGCTCCTGCAGAAGAGCTTGGGAGCGGGTGGGGTCGGATTCCAGACAGAGGGAAGCGCCTCCACTGCGGGGGTGCTTGGAGACCCCAGTGCTCATGCGCTGTGAGGGATGCAGACAGAAAGAGTTTAGGACAGCGTGAGCTGTTTAGCCCCAGTGAAGGCCAAACATGGCAGCCACAGGCATCTGTGCTGTTCACTTTGGGCATCCGCCCCATGCTGTTGCTTTCAAACAGCTGCACAAACAAGCTACGCAATCAACCCCTGCCGCATTCTGTGTTGGTGCTGGGTGCCCGGCAGCCGAACCGGTGCAGCGGAGATGTTCTTGCAGTGAGTCTTTCTACTGCGCTTCTCTGACATGCCCTCCAGTGCAAATATTTGTGCAGCAGCAATTGGGATGCAAACTGCAGGCGGGGGGTGGGGGAGGTGCTGACTTTAGACCTCTGAGCTTTTAGTTGACCGTAAGGGTGTTGGAGATGTGAGGGAACTGGGCCCATTCCCAGAGAGATCTTGGCAGTTGGGGCCAGACTGTGGTATCAGTTACTGAGCCTGACCAATCAAAGTACATTCAATGATGCAGCATCCTTGTGGGTGTTTGCAGCGTGTGTTAATGGGCGGACTTCAGCTTCTCACACAGGACGGTGGGCGAGCATCATACAGACAGACAAGATGACTGTACACCTGAATTTAGCATCTTAGCTGAAATTGGGAGCACTGAGGTTCTCGATCTATCCCTAGGGCAACTAAGGGAGGCTGTGTGGAGACTGGCACTTACATGGCTGGCGCTCTTCCACGTCAGAGCCCTCGCTGTGCCAGTTCTCTCTCGATTCTCTCAGGGGAGGGGCAGGGAAAGCAGAGCCGCTTGAAAGGGGAAAGGTTTGGCCTTCTTTAAAAGGCTTGTTTGGGATCTTGTGTGGGTTGAAGAGGGTGCCGGGAAGTGTTGTGGAGAGGCCTTCTGGGGGTTAGATGTAATTGGGGTCCTCTCTAGGGGTTGTGTAAGCAGTTAGGAAACTGTTCGAATCTTTACTGCAATGTGATAACATCACTGGAGATGCAGATGGAAATGGCGTGAGAGCAATTGGCCGCTTAAGGCAGACTGAACGGCTGACTGGGAAGGGGACGTGTGTTAGAGTTAGGCAAAGCTGGTCGTAATCCCTGTCGCAGGCACGTCAAAAGTGGTCATGATTGGGCAGGAAAGCGGGGTCTAGTGCTTAGAGCAGGAAGAAGCCGAGAATTGGGATTCCTGGGTTCCATCCCCCAGCTCTGGGAGGGGAGAGGGGTCTAGTGGTTAGAGCAGGAAGGGGCTGAGAGTTGCGATTTCTGGGTTCTGTTACTGGCTCTGTCACTTCTTGACACTGAGAAAAATCACTTCCCGTCTTTGCCTGAATTTCCTCATCTGTAAAATCAGCCGGATGGTACTGACCCGGGAGGTAGTGGCTGGGCCTCAGTAACCAATGTCTGTCCACACTCTGAGTCCCTTGGCAGTAGGGCGCTGCAGGAGGGAGGGGATTAGCTGTCCTGAACGGTTATTGATTTCAGTTGCTTCCCTTGGGGATCCTACCCCGAATAAGAGCAGCGATATCCCCTGTTCCTGCCAGCACCTCGCAGCGTGTTCTACATGCAGCGTGCTGGATCCTATACGGTTCAGGGTCCCAGTTGCTCTCTAGATCACGGGTTCTCAACCTTTTTCTTTCTGAGGCCCTCTCCCCCCACCCCCCCCCCACCCCGCCCAACATGCTATAAAAACTCCACAGCCCACCTATGCCACAACAACTTTTTCTGCATATACAAGTCCGGGCTGCCGTTAGGGGGTAGTGAAGCTAAGTTGCTGAGGCTTCAGGTGGCGGGGCTCAGAGCCCAGGGCTTCAGCTTTCTGTTCTGGGCCCCAGTGAGTCTAACGCTGGCCCTGCTTGGTGGATCCCCTAAAATCTGCTAGCGGTCCCCCAGGTGGCCCCGAACCCCTGCTCTAGATCCACTCCTGCAAAGCGTGTAGGGTTCCGGGGGGGATGTAACTGACATTTCCTCTTTCAAAGCCAGCGGCTTCTCACCCCTCCTGGTGTTGTTGAATTCCAGTCCCTCGATCTGAACAAGCCTATCGACAAGCGCATCTACAAAGGCACGCAGCCCACCTGCCATGACTTCAACCAGTTCACGGCCGCCACTGACAGCATTTCGCTGCTGGTGGGCTTCTCCGCCGGCCAGGTCCAGTACCTGGATCTCATCAAGAAGGACACCAGCAAGTTGTTCAATGAGGAGGTGAGATCCCCGCTGCTAACGAGCCTTTTTGCTCCCTCATTAGCCCGGGCAGGATTTCATTCAGCCCTCCGGAGCCGATGGGTCTTGTGACTCCCCACCGTCCTGTTCAGAGCCCGGCTGTGCTAGTCCCCAGATTGGCCGCTAGGGGACGCCAGAGAGCAGTGCAAGGTTTCCCACGCTCCTGGCACTGTGTCACATTTCACAAGCTAAGCAGGGTCTGGCTGGGCCAGAGTTTGGGGGAGGCTCTGTTAGGCAGTTCTCTTCCCTCTGATTGGTTACTGAGCCCTGTGTGTTTCTAGGGGTCACTGGGCGCTCATGGGGAGCCTGTCATTATAAACCATCCTCTGAGGGCGTTAACGTTCTGTCTGTTACCTGAAATAATCCCGGTAGCAGCAGCGACCAGAGCGGGACTTCACAGCTGCTCTTGTTTGCATGGGTGATGTACTTTGCTGTGGGGGTTTGTGCCTGACTCTCAGCTAGCAAAACACTCCCCTGCTGCCGCCTGGGCCTGCTAAAGGCTTCCTGCCGTAGCTGTTTGTTTTTTAGCTGCAGCGGTTTTCAAACGAGGCTGCGGTTTGCGCGGGGAAGGGTTAATGGTGAGGCAGAGGGCTGGGAGCAGGCTACAGGCCCTTCCACCTGGAGGTTCCTGGTTCAGGTCCAGCCCAGCGTGGGACGCAGTTGCCATCTGTCCCTTGGTCTGTATGCAACAAGTTGGGGGAGTTCTCAGTCTAGGGCCCAGCAGGCCACGGCACAAGCCACTGTCCCAACCAGCTCCAGTGGAACGGTCAAGGAGTGGACCAGCCCCAGACCTGACTTCCCCTCTCTGCCCTGGGGAAGGTCTCCTCAGTCTGATCCCTGCTCTCTGTTTCCCATTGCCCCAGCGGCTCATCGACAAGACGAAGGTGACCTACCTGAAGTGGATCCCGGAGACAGAGAGCCTCTTCCTGGCCTCCCACGCCAGCGGGCACCTGTACCTGTACAACGTGGAGCACCCGTGTGGCTCCGCCTCGCCCCAGTACACCCTCCTCAAGCAGGGCGAGGGCTTTGCCGTCTACGCCTGCAAGAGCAAAAGCGCCCGCAACCCGCTGGTGAAGTGGGCGGTGGGCGAGGGGGCCCTCAACGAGTTCGCCTTCTCGCCCGACGGCCGCTACCTGGCCTGCGTCAGCCAGGACGGCTGCCTCCGCGTCTTCCACTTCGACTCCATGCTGCTGCAGGGCATGATGAAGAGCTACTTCGGGGGGTTGCTGTGCGTCTGCTGGAGCCCCGACGGGCGCTACATCGTCACCGGCGGCGAGGACGACCTGGTGACTGTCTGGTCCTTTGCCGAGGGCCGGGTCATCGCCAGGGGGCACGGGCACAAGTCCTGGGTCAACGCGGTGGCCTTCGACCCCTACACCAGCAGCGTGGAGGAGGAGGAGCCGCCGGAGCTGAGCGGCAGCGACGAGGAGCCGCAGGAGCCGGCCCACTTTGGCCGGGTGCGGACTAGCAGCACCCTGTCCCGCCTCTCCAAGCACAGCACCAAGAGCTCCCCCTCGGTGACCTACCGCTTCGGCTCGGCCGGGCAGGACACTCAGTTCTGCCTGTGGGACCTGACGGAGGACGTGCTGTACCCCCACCACCCGCTCTCCCGGGCCCGGACTCTCACCAACACCTTCAGCACCGGCATCCCCTCCTCGGTGAGCGGCGGGAGCAACCTGGCTGGGGAGCCGGGGGGCAGCAGCGGTGGGTCCATCCTGCCCCGCTCGCTCTCGCGCTCCAACAGCCTGCCCCACCCGGCCGTCACCGGTGCCGCCAAGAGCCACGTGACGGACAGCGCTGTGCCCTTCAGCATCGGCAAGTTCGCCACGCTCACCCTGCAGGAGCGCCGGGACAAGACCGCCGAGAAGGAGCACAAGCGCTACCACAGCCTGGGCAACATCAGCAAGAGCAACGACAAGCTCAACGGGGCGCCCCGGAGCAAGCTGGACACGGCCAAGGTCCTGGGCACGGCCCTCTGCCCCCGCATCAACGAAGTGCCCCTGCTGGAGCCCCTGGTCTGCAAGAAGATCGCCCACGAGCGGCTGACGGTGCTGCTCTTCCTGGAGGACTGCATCATCACCGCCTGCCAGGAGGGGCTCATCTGCACCTGGGCCAGGCCTGGCAAAGCCGTAAGTACAGCTGCCGGAGATTGCAGGGCTGCCCTGGGAAGTGGGAGGCCTGCACGTACGGATCCCAGAGCGGCCAAGGCTTCTGCTTCCCCTCTGGCGGGCTCCTCCAAAGCCACTGGAGCCCTGCAGCCCATGGGGAATGGCTGGGGGACCACCCAGGGGCAGCGCTCTGGGCAGAGGGGAGGGAAGTGGGAAAGGCTGTTGTACTCAGGAGGGCATTTGGCGCAGCAGCTAAGAAATTAGGGAGTGGGGTCGGGACCCCTGGGGTCTAGTCCCGGCTCTGGG